TTGATTGTCGAGTAGAGTTAAGCCTGATTTTTTTAGCAATTATAGTAAAGCACTTAATTTTTATTTACTTAAATAATACACCAAAGAATATAGTCTAATAACATGCAAAAAGTAGACAAATTTACTTATTTCTAAAAATTTTCCCAGCTTTCTAACTGTGAGACAAGAGCCGTTAGAAATTCATCCAAGCTAGTTGTTAACTTTCCACGGGAATGATGTTGCTACTGAGAGTGACATTGACAATTATCTGTTCAAAACACAATGTTATACAATACGCCATTTGATAAATGAAAACCTTGACTCTCTATTGGTTATAAATAATATATATAATGAAATGTAAGAAAGAACTATCAACCAATTGTGAAAGAGAGGATGTAACAAGTGGGAGTGGCAGAAGGGGTCTGATTTTCTCTTTGATAGCTCTCTAACAAAACAAAATGGAAGGCCATAAAAATTATGGTCTGTTTGAGCAATAACGATTTTATAGAGAGCATTTTACGTTTAATTTCATACATTTTTGAGGGGTGATGGATAAAATAGGGATGATGACATGCTAAGAAAATTTATCATGTGTGTTACACTAGTGGAAATTCAGGATTTTTTTATATATTTCCTTTTAGAATTAAGAACTTAAAACTTGTATACTATTAAAATATGGATTATTAGCTAAGATTTTATGCTATTCTAATTGGTATAACATAAAAAGTAGTTTAATAAAATTTTGAATGTAAGACACTAAAACTTTGTGTCATGCGCAGTAAAGGGTACCTGGGCAGATAAGGTTAATTAAATTTCTCCATGGTTCAACCATGACCGTTTATCAATGGAAATGGAATACTTATCGTCAGTTGTGTATTAAATGGAATTTAAACCCTCTTCATCTTAAAGTATCTACCATGTCCCATTTTATGGCTTGTGTATTTGAGAGGGGTCTTGCTTCATCCACGATGGCCTTATATAAGGCATCCTTATACATTATTTTTAAGTATTCCAAATATTGGAAGGTTTTGAATCCTGAGTACTGTGAGGTCTACTCAAATCCATATGTATTTTTCAACCCAAATGACCTTTTCAATTACTGAATTGGAATTTTACAGTTGTTTTACCTGCATTATCTCATTCTCCCTTTGAGCCCTTAGCTTCATGTTCTTTGTTTCACCTTTCTCTTAAATTGTATTTTTTGTTGTTGTTGGCTTGTGGACATTGTCAGTCAGAGTTATTTGCAATCCCTGTGCATCAGGCAGTTTACCATTCCACATTTGTCCTGCTTTACCCCGATAGTTCTTTTCTTTCCAAGATTCTGACAACTAGGAAAGGAGAAAGATCCTTCTCACCAATCCATTTCCGGCCATTTCTCACTTTTGACTGCTCCGATCTTGATCATGTGTTTTGTTCTGTTAGGGCCCTCAAGTGTTGTAGCTCGCACAAACTGATTTCAAGATAGTAAATGTCAATTGCTCATTCATTGGAATTCTTTCATTTCCCGTGATTTATCTCCCATTACTCTAATGAGATGGCTTCATAAATTGATTGACATGACCTATAATGGATTATTGTTACAGAGAGGAATCTTTTGGGTGTTACATTTCACCAGATTTGTTATATCTCTATGTCATTAGCTGCCCTGTTGAACTGCCCTCTGGAAGACATTATGCGGGCTGGTATATTCTATTCCACCTTTGATATAGGAACTGAGTTCCAGGTGAAGCGCATACCTGTTCTGGATTTAGTATGGTTCCCCCACTCTTATATCATCTTTATCTTGGTGCACTCCTTTTCTATACAGATGCTTTCTGTATTGTTCATACCTGCACCAGCCCCTTTACCTTCTTAATGTGTGATTCTAGCTATAGTTTCAGTGGAAGTAAGTATGTTTTGGAAGTTAACATTTTCCTAAACTGAAAATGTATTTCCAATAATACTTACATCCGTCTGACACTCTCTCACTCTACCTCCCCACTAAAAGCTGGTTTATGTCTCAAAAAGTTATTACATTATCTGAATGAGGTGCTTATATACAGTACCTAGATAGAAGGTGGATTGAAGTTGGTGGATAATTTTACAGATTAGAATTTGCCAAGGGCATTCAAGTTAGGTATAAAAGACTGGAGCAAGTGTTTTAAATGCTTAGATGGGCAAAGAGTGGAAACCCTAGAGATTGAGAAATAGCTAGAGTGTCAGCCTAGGTAAGTATTAGTGGAAATACATTTTCAGTTTAGGAAAATGTTAACTTTAGTGTGAAGATTCTAGAATGATTTGATGCAAGAAGACTATATTTAAATACTAATTTTTTCTAAAGGGTACTTGATTTGCTAATAAAATTTACCATTTGTAATGTTCTTAGAAATATGAATGCTAGAAGAGAAGCTGTCCCAATTCTGAATATTCTTTTTAGGTCTCTGTCTTCCAGTGGTTATCTCATGCTTTAAATTCTATTGTTTGATACCTAACCTATTTCCATCGAGGCCTAACTTTCCAATCAGTTTTTTATGTCTGTAATGTCTGGTGATTTTGCAGAAGTAGAGGTTTTTTTTTACAGAAATAGTTCTGTTTATACTCTTATGTCTTTTTTTCTTTCTATATAACATCTGCTTGGTATTATTTTCAAAATGTAAGATATCTAAAGGATAAAACTTCTGCTCTAGTTATGTATATGAAGGATACATTCCCCCCTGCTTGGTTTTTCTGTTACAAATGTGGTCGTAATATATTTCATCACATTGTTTCAAGACTTAGTTTCACTGATGGTGCTTATCAAGTTCTCTACCTATAAAGATAGATTTTTTGAAATTATTGTCAAGCATATAACCTAATCATGTTATTGTTTTCAGTCAATTACTTTTGTACACATTTAGATTCATTAAATTGCTTTCTTGATCAAGACTGATATATTAATAGTTCAGGCATTTTAGGGCAGTACTGAGAACTGTTATGAAATATTTGAAATAACTTATAACTGTTAATTATAGTACAGTAGGATAGTTTTTATAATAGTTACTATGCTGTTTAATGATAAACCAGCTTTAAAAATCTTAGGATTGGGAATATGACAGGTTTTTGTATTCTCATAGTTGCCTTGCAAACATACAGAGCAGCAGCATAAATTTACAGAAATTTATCTCTGCAATCCACTAAGAACGCAGAGCTTCTCCCATGTCATTGTTTTTCCACGTTAATATTGCAGAGCCAAATTGATGCTTACATTCATTTTGAAATTCTTTAGGATAAAGGGATCTATTAAGCCTTGCTTGTTGCCTGATTATAATGTTAATTTTTGTTTAAAGATTCATAATTGGCTAACATTTGAAGCACTGAGGAATATTGAACTAAAGCCTTGTTAACTTTTCAATTCAGTGTTTTAGTTATGAGTCTTCATTTAAAATTGGAGCATTGTGTTATTATCTTTAAAGATGTTTTATTTTATTTTATTTGGTAAAAAGTATTGGTCTCTGCAATCCACTATTTGATGTAACATGGACTACCAATTTTCACTAGTAGATTTTATTGACATAAAATATGTATGTTAAACTTTTATGTGGTTATTTTATTAAGAAAAGAAATATTATAACTTTATATCAGAATATTACATTCACAGTTATTTACTGTTTTGGTGTGACAAACTTGTAAAAACAAAACTAAATGAATGCTTGTATCATTGTATTACAATTTATTAGCTAAAATATATTAGTTTTGGTTTATCATTTAGTATATTGTTTGCTATTTATATAATGGATTTATTATTTTTCCATTGAATTCTGCTTCTTAGAAAAAATAAAGTTTGTGATATCTTTATATATATATGTATATATTTTACAATACATTACAGAAAAAGCACAAAAGATGTTGTTTTTGTAGTTTCTTGTAAATTTACTATCAGTGAAATACATTTTGTGGAATTTTTTATATACTAGTTAGCTCTTTTACTGCTATGTTTATAGATAATTACCTCTCCCAGTACTTATTTTGCTTATTTGTTGTTGTATCAATGTGGAGTTTTTATAGAGATAATTACATGAAATCTTTCACATATGTTTGACTTCTCAGATGGCAAAAAGTGTTAATTAAAATAATTATTTGTTCATTTCCAAAATTTTTGAATTAAATGCTATGAAACACCAATGACTTTTCAAAATTAATTATAAAACTATTAATTGTATTGTATATCTATTTCTTACATTATTTTCTTAATATCACACACTTCTAGGTTAAGACAAAGGTTGTACAGTGTGTCCCATATATGTACCCATGGCAGTGCTTTAGATGGGGGATATGGACACTGCCCATGGCAGTGAAAGAGTTAAGGAACTTACTGTGAAGCCTTTTTTTTTCTTATCTGATTATTAATAAATGCATGTACTAGCCATTCTAGAAACAATATCAATAAGAATTATCTGCTTTTTCAAGTGATTTTTAACATTTTCAGTAACAGAAGCAGCTCAGAGAAGTGTTATGACACCCAAGGTAAATTTTCCTTTTCTAATGTTTGATTCAAGATTCTGAAGAGAAATGAAAATGGGTTGAGTGTGGTGCAGTGGCAAGCGTGTCAGACCATGCATCTGAGGTTCCATGGTTCACACCTTGTTAACTGCCAAAAAAGAAACACTTCACACTTTAGGACCATAGGTGCATTATAACAGTGAAGGTTAAATCCCACTATTTGATTAGTTAGCCTGTGAGTTTGCAGTTGATGGTGTTGACTGGCTGCATTCCTTCTAGTCTATCACTTCAAAATTATTGACAGCTAATGCAGATAGCCCTTGAGTAGCTTTGCTTGAAATTGAAATTTCACATACAACAGATTGAAATTGTGTTAATTTCTGTATTAGTGTTTATCTGTAAATTTCAAGTAGTAAATGAAAAAATGATTTTAAAATTTTTTATACCTATTTCTATTATGTATTTTATTTTTTCAGCCATGATTAAAAGAATATGAACTGATACCAATGTTAGTGTGTATTTTACTAAAAGGTTGTTTTCTTTTTCTTTTATGAATTAAGGCTTAATTAATTCCTTACTTGAAAATATTTTTTCCACTACTCTTTTTTAGTTATATTTTTTATAAGCTTTGATATTGCCAACACAGCTTGTGGTTAAGTTTCTCAAATTTATATTGCATAACCAAAAGAACCTTTTCCAAATTTATTTTTAGATGTATCATTCGTGCTAATTGTTTTTCTACAATACTAGTGTATTGAAAACTTATCTATAATTCAATGACCTATTTTATTTAAATTGTTCTAGCAAGATGTTGGAAGTGGTCAGTTGGAAAAGCCACCCCAATTACACACAACTCTAATTCAAGGTTCCAGTAAAGCTATTTCTGCTCATTCCTTAATGGACATCAAACCCAGACCTTTAGCCCAAGTTAACCCTTATAAAGTAAAAGAAAGTATTGACAAATTGAGTAAGTATTTGTTGAAAATCAGGTATACATCTTACAAGTTACAGATTAGTGTGTTAAAGATCAGTAGTTTCCTTTTTACCATTTATTTTGAAAAGTTGCCAATAAAGACAGGAATTTTTATGTATATAAAATGATAAATTAGTCATGTTACCTTATCTCCACACACACACACAACATCTATATTCCTTGTGTGTCTACTTAAGAGAATTGCATGCTACTAGACAAGAGATAACTGCCATTTAAATTTGTGTTTAATGCAAACTGTGGTGATGCATGATTATGTCATCATGCGATAATAGCCCTCCACCAATAGGATGGTGATACAATCTCCATGCTCAATAACTCCCCTTAAGCACTTGTGCTTCAGCATTACATAGAACGGACTTGTTAATTTATCTCGTATATGTTCAATTTACTGAGATTTGCAACTGTAATCAAAACTTTAATTTTTATTTTACGTTGACTTTTGTTTCAAAAGCATTGTATTATTTATGAATACTTAAGTGATAGTGACTTTTACTTTGTCCTGTGCAAGTGACATATGTAAAAACACAGGATCTATTTTTACTATGGCTTCTGGAGGCTCATTAACTGTTGAGGACATTACAGCCATTGTACAGCATGTTGTGGGATCCCTCAAGCATGCTTGGCTTCCTTCTTCTATCCTTTCAGCTGATGTTCCTTCCCCTCAGTTTGAGAATGACCAGGATAAAGAAGAATTTAATCAACTGCTCTCTCCACCTGGTTTTGCTTTGGGTACAACTTTACCAGTTAAAAGCAATCTTCAACCTTCTACTCTATTTCAGGGTATGATTTCTCTGGTATGTTCCTTTTTTTCTCTTTTGCCCATGTCTTATGATTTTTCCCATTCTTTGCACCATAAAACTAATATTTGAGATTATTTGGTATTTCCTTCTTTGTCTAATATTAGGGTTTGTGCTGATTCCTTTTTTGAACAACTTCACACCTGTATCCACGTACCTCATCCCCCTTGCCTTCTTAATTCTTTTGTTCTTGCTTACAGCCATTCTTACTTTGCTTTTCTAAATTCCCAGTCTTTGGAATTTCTTTTGCCTGTTTAGGGAGCAGATTTCTTGTCTTCTGCTCTGCTCTCTTGTGCTCAATTTTCATGGCTTTGCTTTTTTTTTTCTCTGCCATCCTATGTTACCTCATCTCCCAATGCCCTTATATCTGAAGAGCTTCATTCTACTCCAGAGTAGGTTTCTGGGAGGTTTGTTCCCTTCTCTTTACCACATTAGCCTGTACCATGTCTTCTGCTCTGTCCGTATTTACTTTGCTTCTCTGATGTGCTTCTTATTAATGTACATCTACATATGTCTTATCTGCATGATCTTTGTTGGGCTCCCTTTCTTTGTCCAGACATCTTTCGTGGTGTTCTTGATTCACTGGAGATGTGGACTTTATCTTCCCTGGTTTACTGTCTTTCCCAATGTTGCCCTTCAACTCTTGTTCTTCTATCGGGTCAGTCTGCCCCTACCATTTCCATTTTGGCTTACAGACCTTCCTCTTTTTCCTGTTCTTTCACTACCTGCTGTCAGGTTCATCAAACATCTCATCAGTGACTTTCCTGTCAGATTAAGCCCAGTTGATGCCCATCTGTCTCACTTTGCCTACCTTTGGTCACACTTTTCTACTGATTAGTTCCTCAAGTTCTCACCCATTGTCTTTCTCTCTCTCTCTCCTCTTCTTTTTTTCATCCTTGTCTCTACTCCGTCCAACCCTGTATATCTTCAGTGTCTTGAGGATGAGGTTTTGGATCTTTTGGCCTAAAATACCATTCAGAGGGTATATGCTCATTCTCTGTGGTTTTACTACCATCTCTTTGTGGTCCCTTAGAATATTGAGGACTGGCATCCAGTAATTTACCTATTATCTCTCAACAGATTAAAGCCCATTCCATGAATCTGGATGGAAAATCTTTGTATTATTGGTAGTCTTTTTCACTTGATCTGTAGATGACTAGATCAATGTGTTGGACACTTTCCAACACATCCCAACTGCCCCATCTCCAAACATTTTCATTGGTATAACATTGGCCTCTTATGTATTCAATTGAATCATGGGGGTTTTCGTATTCCATCTTCATGGTCTATGCTGAAATTCCATTTCTACATTGATTGGCTTTTCTTGGAAGGTATCCTTTTCTTACAGCTCTTTTCTTCTGCAGGAGACTGCTCCATCAGGATGGCTTGTCAAGATCTCCAAGGCCTTTCTTATCCCCACCCAATATTTGGTTCATCTGGGCATTTTCTTCAACTGTTGTCTCAGTTGAATTCAGTCTTCATCTCTTTGCCTGTGGGCTATAGAGTGTCTGGTCACCAATATTTTCATTTCTTGTTTTCATTCTTCATGAGAGTTTTTTCATTTTTAAGGACTTTGGTTTCCCTGGAACCACTCATTCATTTGGGGTGTGCACATATGCCTCCACCAGGGACTTGTAAGACCAATGGAGATTTGCTTGGAGTGCTTTGTTCTCAATTATGAACCTTCCTTCTCCTCTTCTTGAGGACTTGCCATGGTGGCTAACCATTCCAATACCACATCCAGCATTCCTTTACCACTTCTAGACCAAATCCATGTCACTGATGCTTTCTTCTCAAGTTGGGGCACATTTCTGAACAACAACATGACTTCTGGCATTTAGACTGTGGATGAGAGTTCCCTCTGCATCAATGTTCTCGAATTTCTCACTGTTTGATGGGCATATTTCCATTTCCTACCTTTTCTATGATCTACTTCAGTAATTCCATAGTCATTTCTTACATCAATCATAAAGAGGTACTTGTTCAGTTCCAGGATTCTTTACTATTAAGTGTTTGACCTCATCTTCTGAACTTATTCCTAATGGATTAATCTATTGGAACTTTGAACCTTGTGGTGAACTGCCTCTCTTGGCCAGACCATTTAATGGTCTCTCCACCCCTAGATTTTTTGCTGGGTCTGCTCTCAGTTTGGCACATCCCTCATAGATGTCCTTGCCACTCCTCTCAACTCCAAGCTTCCATTCTTCTGGTTCCTCATCCTTCAACTATGGCTGTTGATGTTGTAAGCCAGGATTGGTCTCATCTTTTCTTATATGCCTATCCTCCTATTTGACTCCTTCCTCAGGTCCTCACCCTGATACATGACACTTTTTGTTCTGTCCTATTGGTGGCACCTTTTTGGCCAGCTTAACTTTGGTTTCCTCTGCTTTTTCACTTAACATCCAGACTCATTCTACCCTCAATATGTCCATTTTTTTATTCAAGGATATCATCCCTACATCTAGATGAGTTGGATTTGTCTGTTCTCTCACCCTTTGGGCCAGACTCTGGTCAGGTAGCTTTTTTCTTGTCCCATTACTTTTGACCTTCTACTTTGTCTATCATTGTAAGTGTTGGAATTTTAATCTTTGGTCCATCCACCACTCCTTTCCTCCCAGCTGTCCTACTGTGAGCAATCTCTCTTCTGCCTCAGTTTTACTCTTCTTCTTGGACTGGCTTTCTTTCCTAAGACATTGACCATTTGGGAAGGTGACCCTATGTTTTTTTTCTACCTCTCACCTCTATAATCGTTCAGACCTGGATCAGCTCTTATGTCTAGTTTGGGATGTTTGATGTTGCTTATCATGCACCTTTTCCTTTTGGGGTCCTCACCAACATTTATTTCTACCTTGGGACCCCTCTTCTTTCAAGAACCTCTCTCTTTCTACCCTTACTGGGTGGATCCATCAAATTTCTCCAATTGATATATTCTTCCCTGGATGTTAATGCTCTTCACATCAGCTTCGTCACCTTTTTCACTCTCGCTTTAATTTTCGCTGACCCTTGGATAAGATCCACCAAGGTGGGCATGTGGATGACTTCCCACATGTTCATTGCTCATAGTCTTCATCTAGTTGTTTCATCTCCCCGCAGAATTTAGACTCCCCCTGGTTGCCATTCTAACAGTTGGCCCACTGGGTAAGTATGTTTCTCATTATATTTCTTTCTGTTTAACAGGATTCTATCAGGTGGCTGATGCTGCCTTTCAGTGTATGCTTGCTTACTTCCTAAAATTCACAGCAGGGCAAGGGTAATGAAAAACACTTAAACCATTCACCCTTGCTCTACCATTGCTCCCTTTCAATATGGGGTGTTCTGCGAGACCAATGGAAGTATCCTCATGATAAACAATACAATTACTCACTTGCCCGATTCAGACTGTACCATTCCATGGACTGTCATGGAAAAAGCTTGCACAAGGGAAGTGACTGTTCACTTCTTTGGCTTGTTTTTGCTGGATTTTAAATATAGGGTTTTGCAGTCACCCATTGCACTGTCTTCAATTAAAGACCTTTCCAGCAGGTGGATCAATTGGGATCTGGGCACCTTGGGCCTCCCTAATGCAAATCCGCCCTTCTTCAGATGGAGTATGGGAGACCCTTGCCACTGGGTTGGTGGACCTTGGAGAATTCCTCACTGATTGGGCTTAGCACAGTGCGGTGAGAAGTAAGGTAGTGGTGACACTGTCTGTGTAGTATGGGTCATTCCTCAAACAGTTCATGATTCTTTCTATGGCCAGCATCCACCTGGTAGAGTTGAGGTGAGCACACACTGTGTCAGATTGTATGTATTTATAGGCCAGATTCTTTACAGTAAGTGTCTGTGACTTGTTGGCAATAAATTTCAACAATAAACAGTGCACAGTCCACTTATTTTAAAATAATATATTAAAACAAGTCAAATGTATATACAAATGTTCATTACACTGTTGGCTATCACAGTTGTATACTGAGCTTTTAATAATTGTTTCTTTTTTTGTCAAAGTCCACACAGGCTGGTTTACTTACTTTAGAACACAATTAAAAGGACAAATTATTCTTCTCTACTCTGATATTACAATATAATATGTGATAATTTCAATTTAAAAATTACCACTATATGCTCTTTATGGCTAAACTCACAGTTACACAGTCTAGATCTAACTATCTATTTAACTAACTCAAACTACATTTTGAATGCATATTTATAGGCTGACTGAGGCCTAGAATGTTCCACACACTACAAGATATTATGATGCTTAGAAGGTTCTAGTGACATGATGCAATAATACAACAATTGCCAATTCAGAACAGTTGAACTACACAACATATGATTTGAAAACAGTTACTAAACAAATCTGCAATAAACTATCACTTCTGAAAATAACTAAATTTAACACTTGTAATATATGAACTATCTAAATAATAACACTTGCATTATACTTAATTTGAAACAGTCATGTACACCTAACACAGTGTATGGTCTGATTATATTCCAACCACAGTACATATTTTAACTTGCCAACTGCTTATGTGCAGGTGCTCAGTTGGCCATATTCAAACTCTGCTCATTCCTGTGATACTTGGGATTGTTTTGCCTCTCTCTTTTTACATTCTTGGTGAGAAGTATACCCTGGTCAAGATGAGATACAGTTTCTCATGGGTGGGTTTCTATGGAGCCCCTCTCACCATGGGCTTCATGAGTTTTCTGAAAAGAGCTTGTATAGTTTAAGTTTTGGAGCAGCCTCTTTATCATTTCAGCATGGGATTCTAGCTGTTCTGTGTGTGGATGTGAGGTATTGTCTCAAAAGTTAACGTTTATATAATCTGAAAACATTACCAATAGATATTCACCTCTACATAAATTCCCACCCAACCTCTACTTCTGATGTACTTTTTTTTTCTGCCTCGTGTAACAATGAAGTTTCTCTCGAGTACATATGCTTAGGGGAAGTTACTGTGCATAGAAGTTGTGTTGTCCTATTGGTGGAGAGCTATTGTTGCATGATAATGTCATCATGCACCATCGCAGTTCACATTAAACATGTGAATTTAGGTAGATTGCAAGTATCTTTGGCAGAGGTGTGAGGAATATAACTGTTCTGTGTGTAGAGGTGAGTATCTATTGGAAATATATTTTCAGATTAGGAAAGTGTTAACTTCTAAAGTCTTATGAGTGAAAGCACACAAGAATGTGTTATAATATGTCATACACACTACATTTGCCATCAGCACTGATAACACTTTTTGCCCAATACTAGAGCTCATCAGGCTACTAGGGGTATGACAGACATAGCAGTGGTCTAGGTGCTATATATATATCCTCAATTGTTATGAGCAGTGACTGCTATGATGTGAACCTGATTAAGCAAGTGAACTGCAATTATTTATTTAAGTCATTTACATCAGATGTTTAGGGTAAGAATCAGTAGAAAGATCAAATAGTGCTTTACTTTAAAAAACAACAACATCAAAGTAGTGATTTTTTGTAATGATTCAGCCCTTTCACTATATTCAAAAACATGAAATTCAGAACTTCTGGGACATCAATTTTGGATGTCTCATTCCAATACCTGGAGGTCTCAGAACACTGTACTGTATGCTAAATGTTGTAGCCATGCAGCTTTGTCATATTGCTGCAAATTGCATGTTCCAAACCAGGCCATTTGGACTGGAGATCTGTCTACTGTTTGTTTGTATTATATGTATTTATGCAAAGCTGCTTGGGACATGGCTATGTATTCCAACTATTTTGTGGAGTTATGACAATAGCTGAGTGAACATGTCTTGCTACACATGTGGTAGACATTTACTAGCGATGGTCACAATTTACTCTTTCGATCATTACAAATGAACAACAAGGATTTGAAAAATAAATTAAATTTTTACTTGCATGTTATGGAAAAAATAATCATTTTTTAGGGTCACAGCATTAAAATAGGGCCAGTCAGAAACTGGAAACAAAAACATTTTTTATGGCCTTGGGTGTGATGGGATCAAAGCAAGGAAGTCCCATAGTACTTCCACACATTCAAGTTTTGGCATCCAAAGGAAGATTATGGATGTATTATATGATTGAATGTTTAATAGTGATTAAGTAATTATTTTGTTTTTTGACACATTTGTAAGAAGCTATGTGAAATTTTGGAATAATATTTTTCTGGTAAATTTTTGTTGCGTATTTTGTATCTGTAGTCAATTTTGTTATTTAAAGTTAAAATATGTATATTAAATAGAAGACTATAATTTGTTAAGAAGTTATTCATATTATTTCTTTTAATCTCAAATTTTTATAATTTTATTAAAGTATTTTTAGAGTATTAGGCAAAAGGTTTTTTGACATTTGATAAAACCTTTGTGACTCTGGTCTTAGTTATTTAACCCTTTCCGTACGAATTGTGAAAAGTGCTGTATGTAATGCAAAATGACTTTTATTTACCTACCAATAAAATAATTAATTTTTATATGTTTTATCTTTATAAGCATATTTATAAATATATTAGTAACATAACATGTCCTTTTTAAAAAAAATGTATGAATATATCAATATATAAATTTATTGAAGTAAACTTACATAATTAAAAGAATCCTATTTATTATGCCATATTTTGAAGTGTTCTGTACTGTATAGACCTGATTTTTGTGGGCATCCATTGCCACATTTTCTTGTTTCCTTCCATTTTGGATAACATACTCTGCATCACGTTTTTGGATGCATATTTTAATTACCAGACAAAGGTGGAATAGGTACTAAAAGCATGGACAGCTTTTTAACTCTTTTTCGCTTGTGACCTGCAAGAGGATTGCTGGTAATGAATTTCTCTCGAGCAGCAATTCATTCTGAATTATGCATTTCTACCAGTTGCTGTATGATTTTTATGATATACTGCTTGAAAGTAAATTTTTCATTTACGGTATGTTTGTAAACAAGAAAATTATTTAGCAGCATACGCATCAGCAAGTGTAGGCCTAGCTTTTTGAACCATGCATGGGATTTATGACTTGGGTCAAAAGGCTCCAGCAACTGATCTGCTTTATCAACTCCTCCCATGTATTCATTATACTTTTCTATGTGGTATGGTTTTTCTGGTCCCATTTCACTATCAGACCATTCTTTTGGGACTCTCCTATTTGTTCAAATTGTTGCCATCATCATTATATTTTGAGTCTTCAAAAGTATACCAATCGAATACTTGCATACCACTTGTCCACGATCACATGATGCCCCTGTCCAAGAACAGATTCTAATAAATGGGGAACTATTTTTTCACTAGATGCAAATTCATTTACTCCTTCTACATCAGGCAAAAAATATTGGTTGTTGGGGTCTTTCCCATAGTACACCCTAAAATTATAGTTGTATCCACATCAATTCTTTTCACTGTTGCACATGACAAGTATTTTGATGCCAAATCTTGTGTGTTTAGTTTTTATGAATTGGTGAAAGCCTAGCTGTCCTTTCCATAAAACTAATGCCTCATCAATTGAAATATGTTCTCCTGCATCCACAAGTTTCATCAAAATTTATCTCAAAAGCTCACAAAAAGCACCCAAACATGTAGAAAGTATTTTTTTACATCATTTACTTTGGTAAAGCATAAACATTTCATAATTGATATGTACTTGTCTCTACTCATTGAATGCCTGGTTCATATGGCATTGTTGCCCAATACTGGTTCATATAGCTATATTTACATATTCCAGTGTAAAAATAAAGAGTAATAAACATTAATATATCATTTTCAGTCATGTCTTTCTACTGAATACTATTTACAGTTCATTACATTACATTAGCTTGTGGAATAGCATTAGGCTCCAGTTGAGGCCTAGCATCATCAAACACATTAGGAACATGTTTCCATCCTTCAGCCATTTAATTCGTCTTGAAAATTGTCACTTTCATCTGGTACATATTCACTACCACTGTCACTCATACCCTCATCACTTAACATTTTTTTGTATTATTTTACTCAAACAGTTCATAAATGTTTGCAAAATGAGATGTATTTATAGCTAGTTACCATTCAATCAACACCCACATGCAAGTGACACCACCCCATTATTACTTCAATCAATTACACAGCACTTATTTTGTGAGTGTTTCTGATTGGTCAATAAAAATGACATCATTTAGATTGAAGAGCATTACAAGACATTCAGTAATGCTCTGATAAGCATAACTGAATATTTTCCTTTTTAAACATAAACTTAAGCATAATGACTCCAACAGTGGCATCATCGCATTGATAATCAAGACTTCCCATGATGCCAACACAGGAGTCATCATATGGAAGGGGTTAATGGTGTCAAACCTTTGTTTATAAGGGGAATATATTTTATTAATAATTCTATGTTTGTAGCTCAAGACAATAACTGTTATTTGAAATATAAAGAAATTTGACATATTTTTTAGTCTTAATTGAAATACATCTTGTTTGTATTTTGTTGCTCATAAACAACATGATGTTCAAATTAATTAGTTTGAAAACAATATATTAAGTTAAAAAATTTTGTTTCTTTTTTCTTTTATAATTAGTACTTAAAAAGATGCACTTTCTTTGTACCTTTTTTTATCTTTCCATAATTTCATTTTCTAGAAAAGAAGCTGGCAGAGGAAGAGTGTTTCCAAGAGCCAGTGTTTTGGTTGGTTAGTCTGAAAATGCTACCTGATAATCCTTTATGTTTGGCTTGTACAAAAAGCTCTTTAGACCTTGTTCCTGATTCAGAAAGTATAGATGGATATATCTGGAAATGTGGCAATCAGAGGTGATAACAGTATGATAAGACTGATTGATTAATGTCAAAAAATAAACTAATTGAAATTTGTGTTACTCATTACTATTGTTTTTGACTATTCCAACAATCAATTAATTGAAATTATGATTAAAAATGACAGTCACGAAAATAATCAAGTTATTCAAATTAAGGTTTCCGATTATTTATTATTATTCTAATTATCCGATTAATCAAAATATTTCCATTATGTTTGTTTGTTAAGTGCATAGCTACATTATGGGGGGGGGGGATGCCTTGTTATTTGATGATCCTGGGTTGGATTTCTATTGCTACTAAATTTGCTCACTCTTTCTTTGTTATAGTAAAGCTACTAAGGCTATCTGCTACTAATTTTGAGCTGCTGACTAGAGGGAAAGCAACTGGCTGTCAGTACCCACTGCTAACTTTTTGGCTACTTGAGTGTGAAATAAAGAGTAAATTTACTGTTTTTTTTTGTTTACTTTGTGTTATGTATCTAATTTATAGTTGCACAACTGCATTATTCAACCCTCTTGCTACAGACAGGTCGACAGGCAAGAACACAAGTCATGAAGTTTTAGACAGTTATTTTCAAAATTTAATCAAACAACTTTATTATGAATGTATGTCAATAAATTTGGCATTATAATTTAAATTTTAGTATTATATATGTTTTAATTTCTTAATTCAAAAAAAATAAAAGAAAAAGCTAAATTTCTTTTTTGTGTGTCACATAGCATGTTCTCTTGTCATTTTTGCCTACCATACATTGTTCATAGTGATTAATGAATTAGAAATTCAAATTTCAGACACTGACAAGCTGGAATATAAAATAAGAAAATCCCACCATTTTGATTTGCTGAGATATCAATATATTTAACAAATTTACCAGAATAGCCCGTCACACTACTCCATTCTTTTGAAACATCTTGTTTACTCATGCTTCATTCTCTTAAGTACATGATCATAACTAATAGAAAGAGCATATTCCAAGCTATGTAGATCTGATAGTAATTTGTAATTGGTTTGAAGGGAAAGTTGTAGTTTTACTGGAAATGTTGAAGTCTGTTGACTGAGTCATTGCTGTGAACAGAAATGAAGTTTTTTTAACCAACATATAGCTTAATTAGAAAGCCAGATAAATTACAGGGATTTTTAGTGTACTAGTATAGTAATTTGATATTGTTTTAGTTTTCTAAAGTCTACAAAAATTAATTTGTTTTCCCCCTTAAATGAAGCTTATGGTAAAGCTTAGCAAGTATGACGTGCAGGTACAAATCAATTTAGTATCATTGCTAGGGCTAGAAACCATTGTTTTTCTATGTATTTTTTTATTTATTGTTCTTATTTTTAAGAATAATAACTAAAAGTTAAGGATTTATGACTAAATTGTAATAATATATATATATGTTCATAAGCACTTACATACTTTGTTCATCTGATCTGCTAAATTCCAGTCACCCCAAAAGGATAACTGACATCCAAATAAGTACTAAGCTTATTGGATTGGCCTCTATTTTATACAGAGTCATATTATAAACATATTCTCACACTATTATTACCTTAGCCAATTTTCATTGCAACCTCTATAAATAAGCTGGTAAATCCTCTCCCACTGTGTTCTCAGAGCTGAGATTACAATAAACTCTTAGAGAACTTCTGGTGATTGTGCTACACGTGGTTATTTGCTGTCAATTGTGTTGTATTGCAGTGTCATGTAAACAGTCTAATAGCAGGAGTGATGATTCATTTCTTTATGTTCGGCTGATTTCTTCTTCAACCACTAAGAGCAAAATAAACATAGGAAATAGATGTAGAAAGGTCAGAAGTAGAAACTCTTAGAAGTATTTTGGAACTTTGTGGTCAATACTAAAATGGGTAGAACAGTAATACTCATATTATTTTGCATTTTTCAACCTTTTGTCTTCATTTTATGTTTTTGAGCCAATAGCGAGAGAGAGTTAATGTTGCATAAGCAGGTGCAGACTTAGGGGAAGAGTCCAGATTCTTCCTCAATTTTATTTCTAGAAATTAATAACTGTATTCATTAGTGTTATACAAGTAGGTGTGGATGGAGGGGGTTTGGACCATTCTTTATTTTTTCTGGAATAAATAACTATTCATTAATGTAAAAGCATGTGTGAATCTATGGAAGTGGTCCAAGGGGTAACACCCCTCTCCACCCATTTTTTTTTCAAAAATTAATACCTATTATTTAATCTTATAAAGACAGGCATCTAGGGGGTCTGAACCCCTCATATGTTTTATTATTTTTGGAAAGTAATATTTTTATTCTTTAGATGTTGCATAAGCAGGTGTGGATCTAGGGGCATCTGAACCCCTTCTGCTCTTTTCAGATTTTTTACACTACCCTATAGAATAAAAAAATATATTAGATGTCAATGTTTTTATTTCATTGGGCTAATAATTACCATAAAAGCTTTTTTTGAGTTTTTCTAAATCAACACAACTGAAGTTTACAACAATCCAGTAAAAGTCTCGGTCAATAACTAATTATTTTTAAGCTAATACGACAGTATGAACTTCAATTAGATGTTGCCATGGTAAATTTCCCTACCTTGAATTTTCCAGAAACTAATGTGTCTAGACTTTAGAGATTTGTTTTTATCAAAGTCAGTATTGTTTAGGGCATCTGTAGCTCTTATAATACAGACTTATTAAAAATAATCAGTTTTTATCATTTAGAAGCTAGAATACTTGTGAGAAAGATGTTTTTCTTACTGTTGATGTCTAAAATAAATGAAAATGCAATTTATATGACTGTATGAGTAAAACATATTCAAATAACATGAACCCTCAGGGATTTCTCTGGAATGTTTTTTTATGTACCCAAGTGAGTAAATCTGTAGCTAAACTTCAAATTTTATGTCTCTAAATTAACAATTATTTATAAGAACAAATGCTTACAATGTTGAATAAATCACTTACAGCCATAAAAAACAGAACAAAGTAAATAAAGTCTGTCAACAGTATTTGTTGAAAATGGAGAAATATTTGGAAGGTAATATGCACATCTGATATTCCTTTTTTTCGATAATTTAACACAGCTATACAACCTAACGTTTTTGCAGAACCTAATACACTGTCAGATAGTTGTTTAGCTGTAATTTATTATACACTTTAACATTTAACAGTATTCAAATTTTAAATTTGTAACACTTTATGCAGTAAAATAAAAAGGCTTATTAGAAATTAAAACAAATATTGCAGAAGTGTTACAAAGGCAACCTTCTCGGTATTATGTATTCATAATTACAAAACAGTAGTTTGATAACAACCTTCTCTTAATTCAGTTTGTCCACTTTTACAGGTTATTTTTTAAACTTGGTGTTTCTTGATCTTCCACAAAAAAAAAAAAGAAGTTAAATTATCCAGCCACTGTCAACTGTATTTCCATCTATTTCTTCTGTTTTATTTGGCTACCCCATTTCAAATATAGATAATACTAGTAGCTGACCAAAGAACACTGACATTGATTAAACCCTGAGGGGAGGTAACTGGCAGAATAATGTTTTAACAGCCTGTGATTTTGGGCAAATCATCACCTAAACTGTTTGTGATGTATGCATTAATGAAAAATATTGTATACTGATTACTAACATTAAGAGTGAGTAATAGAAAGATGTCCTTGTGCTGCAAAGTGGATTTTCAGTTGCTGTCATCCAGTTTTCCCAAGGTGCACACTGATGTCTCTTGCCACGTGCATGGTGTTATAGTTAGCATTAAGTAGTAAGGGTGTGTTTATCAAATCTTTGTGGATTTTTAACATTCAAAGTCAGATGAAATATTATAAAACATTTATGAGCAACCGTGGAAGCCCTAGACCTTCAGACTACAATGATATCAGTTTGTAAAAAATAAAACTAGACTTGCCAGTTCGATGAGTTTTAATTTTCCAGAATGAGGGGCTGGTTGAAGAATATCTATTCTATGTAAAGTTAGAGTAAATCTACTTATTTGCTACAAGTTTATAAAATTTTAGAAGTGCATTATTTTCTGTAATTTTAGTACAGAACATTAACATTCTCAAAAGTATGTAGTTTTCATTGAAGTTGTGATTGCATTTATAGTGCTTAGCCTTATATGATGCTTCTGGTACTAGATTGTACTAAAATGTTTAACTTGCATAAACTGTTTAAGATTAAGTACTCATCTTTCATGTTCAGTTAAGCCAACTTGTAAAAGCTAGCTATGTGGTTTTAAGTTTAAAATTTATGTAAGGGTAAAAAAGTATCCTCATAACTCTCATTATGTGTTCCAATTAAAATTATTATATAAAAAACTCTCTGAATTGACTTTTTGGTGAGATTAGTAGCCTAGTTAGCCTCATGCTTCCCTGCATCTCTCTACTATGTGTTGATTATTTTACAAGTACCATAAAGTGGACTTCCAAATGACTTTCAGTTCATGCATATGCAACAAAAGTCTAGGCCCTTACTAGTACTTAATATTTATGTTAATGCAAGATGTTGCTACAAATAAATATATGCTGTGATTTGATTAGTTTTTACTTTATACTGCTCCATTTTCTATTACACTTCGAGACTTGTAACAATAAAAATTGGGGTTTGATATGCATTGTGGCTGGTGGGCACAGTGTAGTTAAGTTATTGTGTAGCTTTGTGGTTAAATACAAATATTTAATGTTTTTTGTTACCTTTTTTTTTTTTAGGAATAACCTAACCTGAATAGGAAAAACATATAGAATCATAGTAAATAACTTTATGGCAATTTTTAAAAAATCAAAATACATTCTGTGTAGATTGTTTTGTACATTTATATTGTTGAACTCAGTAATATGATGCTGAACTTTATCAACTATGAGATCTTAGAATGTACTTATAGAAGTTAATCTTTTTTTTTTCCAATAATATATTTTAGATGTTGCAAAAAATCCCAAATAGTTCGACCAAATTTTTTTGGGAGGTTTGGAATACCCTTGGCTAAGCTTTTGCAGTTGACCTATCACTGGGCTGTTCAGTCAGATCTCCAAAATATCTTGGATGAAGTAAATGTAGATGTGTATATGGCAAGGTCAGTGTGGAGAGCTCTACAAGAGGTATGTGCTAGGGCACTTGTACTTAAGTCAAAAAAACTAGGAGGCCCTGGTACCACAGTTGAAATTTCTTTTGCATATATGGGAAGATTTAGCATACTTGGAGCATATGATCGAGAAAGTGGAAAAGTTCGTATGAAAGCCATTTCATCAGCAATGGGCTGGTCTGCATCTGTTTACATAAGAAGTTTGGAACCATGGTTGTTACCCAGTTCTGTAATAGTGTCCTCAGAGGAGAGATTGAAAGATATTTCTAAAGCTGGTCATACATTCCTCGTAGCTACTGGAGCTTCTTCTACACAAGAAGGAGAACGTAGTGTTTGGAACATTAAGAACTATCTCCATGTTCAGCTTAATGCAATGTTTGGATCATTCATTGTAGCCCATCTAAAACTCGAGACTGTACAAGGCTATCTTGATGAAATTCAGTGGAGAGAGAGGTTTGGTACATGTCCTAATGATGCTTTTTGGAATATTGTTACAGAGATTGGTGAGCAAAATGGAAATAAAAGTGAGTTTTTTATAATTTTATAGCATGAAAAACTTTTTGTTGTTTTAGATTGTAGCTCACAGAAGTAGAATGATTAAAATAGACGAAGTAACATTGTGTTAGTTGTAAGAAAAGAATCAACATATTTGTACAAATAGTTGGCACTTATAACTCCAGAATATTTATTTTTTCAATACAAATAAAATAAACACAAGCTGGCCGAAAGTAATTTTTGGTTTTTCAAAATTAATGAAACATTAACAGTTCAGAAAAAGAAAGAGAAAACTTAGAATAAGAAAAAAACAGCAAGGTTTTAGGAAAGATTGATCTCCTTCTTGAACATGTGATACCTAGAAGATAAAATACTATACCAACCATACCATACATTATTGTAGATTCCTAGTTTGAACTAAGATGAAGGGGAGACTAACTATAAACCTTTATATGCTGTTTTTTAAAGCCTTAGAATTATAATGCTTGTCATTTATCTTCAAGTATGAGATTTAAATGTATCAAAAAATTGGTTTATAGAGAGTACTGAAGTTCTAATTTCTTTTGGCTAAAACTGCATGTATAAGTACTTTTTAACATTCTTTTCATATTTACCTTACATATGTCAGAATATGGTTTATATGGGTTTAAATAAGTGTAACACACAATGAATAATATGGTTTGAGCCATTGTAATTGAAATTTTCTTATGTTGGTTGACAACATTTTAACTGTATAAACTTCCTTTCATATTATATATAATTTAGAAAGATTGGATTTGTGAACAATATGTAGAAGTAATAGTGAAAATTTTAAAAACTTATGAGAGAAAGCAAAGAAGAATTGGTAATATGCTAGCCATACTGTATCTACCATCTCCAGTGCATTTTGCCCAATACCAGGGCTCATCAGGCTAGATAGGATATGACAGATATAGTAGCAGTTGAAGTGCTGTTTATTGAAAGAACAACAATTGTTATGGTGTGAACTTGAATGAATTCATTTTGCATCTTTTTTTTTGTATTAAGACAATTTTTTCAATTAGAGTGTGATATTTTCATATTATTATTGGTCATTTCATTGTTTCATAATGTGCAAAATTCTCAAACTGCCAGCCTCATGTATAGATGTAGCAAGCTATAGATTATTTTATTAAGATATCAAACAGAGCTTCCAAAAGTCACCCATGCTTACTTGGCTTTAGCTAATTAATGTGTGTTATGAGCAAAATTAGATACTATTCACGAAACTTGAGTAGCCAAATGTAAAAGAAAATGCCAGCATTGGCATCTTTTCTTGCAGTAAAAACATTCTTGTTTTTAAGTTTCATGCAGGCCTTGCATAAAATACACTTTTCTCTTTTATATTCAAACCATGGACATAATTTGAACCAACCACCTTTAGTATGACAATTGTTTATCTTTATGGGACCTCTTGACAACAGTTGATGTATATATAGATCCAAAATTTGAAGATTTTTGCTCTAAGTTAATTTTGTCAGAAATACTTTGTTGCAATGAAATGCGATTAACCCTTTCCACACTGGTCAAAGGCCATATCATCGTGTTTGTTGACTCGCATTCAAAATTTTACTGAACTACTATTTTATGAATTTGTTTCAATAAGTTTGGTATTAAACTGTAGATTATGATTCAAATTTTAGTATTATACATTATTTAATTTCTTAATTTAAAAGTAAATATTAAAAAACACAGATAAACATCAATTTTTGCAAATCACATGGTATGTTAAATGCAGCACTGGTGATGTCAAAATACCAAGTCTATAGTTTTGTACAAATTAGGAACTCAAATTACTGATATTGACAAGCTAGAATATAAAATATGAACCCCTTTTCTATTTGCTGAGATATCGCTCATGTACTGAATCAAACACAGTGGACTCTCGCTCACCTCTTTCCATTTTTGGAAATGCTCCCATATATACACTTACTTCTATATATGACATGAATAACCAATTGAAAGCTCAGAATGTCCCATTAGTGGCTTTATCAGCCACTTTAAATTGTTAGGATGCACTCTCATTCTTTCAAACCAAGATTTAAGGAGGTAGGTTGTGTCTGCTCAAAATTTCATATTTTTTCAGACCAAAATACAGCTTAGTTACTAAGCTTGATAAAT